TGGTGGACTGAGCACTGCCCCCACCCAGCCTTTCTGGTCCCTCCAGGATCCCCCTTGAGCCAAGAACCTGCTTCTGCCTCCACTGCCCCAGTCCTCCCAAGCATCCCTCAGTCTTCCCAGTGTCCCCAGTCCTCCCAGCCCCTCCAGGGTCTCCCTGCAGCCAAGGACAGGGACCTGCTGCGGCCTTCCAGTCCCCCCCACTGTCCCCCAGTTTCCCCTCCAGCCAAGGACAGCCACCACACCACTGTCACCTGTGTGGGTCCTGCTACCAGCGGTCCCACCTGTGGGGTGGCTCATGGGGGTCCCACCCCTGCCACTCACACAGGTCCTGCTTCAGAGGGTCCCACCAACATCACCTGTGGGGGTCCTGCTGCCACCAGAAGTCCAACTGCTGGGGTTCCCCCTGTTTTAACTCATGGTGGGGGTCCCACCAACATCACCTGTGGGGGTCCTGCTTCCACCACGGGTCCTGCTGTTGGGGGTCCCACTACCAAGGGTCCCACTGTTGTCACTTGCCTGTCGTGGCACTACTGTGGGTCACTTCCCTTGGGTGTTCCCCTGTGTCCCCCCAGTGTCACCTGCACAGCTCCCATTGCCACCACGACTCCTGCCACTGCTGTCACCCACGAGGGTCCTGCTGCCACCACATATCCCACTGTGTGTCCCACCAGTGTCACCGACTGTCCTCCCCAGCAGGTCCTGAGGGAGCTGGCACACATGGGGGGACACAGGGGTTGGTGACAGGCAGGACAGCCCCCAGCTGGTGCCATGCCATGCCCTTGGGTGACATGGGCTGCTGGCCCTTTGAGGACACCCCTGTGCCAGCAGGGTGTCCTCAACCATCAGGAGGTCACCAGTGCCACCTCTCAGCTTCCTGCCCCCTGAAGGGCCTGAACCAACACTGAAGGTGGTGGGTCTGTACCCCTGGAGGGGGGTGGTGGTCTGGGTGTCCCTTTAAGTGTCCTGTCCCTGTGCCAGCAGTGGCAGTGTGACCCTTCTCCCAGTGCCACCACGTGACAGATTGTTTGTCCACTGTCCTGGTCCCCTGCCAGCGGGACCTGGCTGTGCTGGGGAAGGATGGGTCAGGCCATGCCAGGGGGGTCCGGCCATGCTAGTAGAATCCAGCCATGCCACCCCTCCCGCAGCCACCCCAGATCACAGCCACCCTCATGCCCCACACCCCATCAGGGGTCCTTGTCCCCAAGTGTCCCCCAGGTCCACCATGCCAGCAGGGGGGTGGGACAGGGCACACTAAGGAACCACCAGGGCTCACCAGGAACCACCCAAGTGCAGGGTAGTCTCACGGTGCAGCGGTTTTTGGGGTGGGAGGTCCTGGTTGAGGAGAGCTAACCCCTTACCCTGCATGGGGCAGTGCCCTAGGGGACCCTGAGCCCCCTGGTGGGGGGTCCCTGGAGTGTCCTCTCTCTTTGGGGGGTGCCAGCTGTGGGATAACCGTGTCCCTCCCCAGGTATGTCCAGAGCCTGCTGGACATCATGGCGTTCCTGGACAGGGACCCCGAGGACCAGGCCACACTTGGACAGTAAGTTGGGGGGGTGACAGCACGTCCTTGTCCCCAGTCCTGGGGTGTCACCTCCTCCCAGACTCCCACCGGTGTGAACTGGTGTCACCCAGGGCTATATCCCTGCAAACCTCCCCCACCCCATCCCAGTGCCACCAGACTGCGTTCTGGTTTTTCCTGGGTGCCACCAGAGGAATCCCAGCCTGGATCGGGGGCCCTGCCCAGACCGGCTGTCCCCAGGGCCACCTCTGTGCCCTCCCCAGGTTCACGGACGCCCTGGTCACCATTCGCAACCGGCACAATGACGTGGTGCCCACCATGGCCCAGGGGGTCATCGAGTACAAGGAGGCCTACGGAGATGATCCCGTCTCCAACCAGAACATCCAGTACTTCCTCGACCGCTTCTACCTGAGCCGCATCTCCATCCGCATGCTCATCAACCAGCACAGTGAGCAGGGAGCTCCAGGGGTCCCCCTGCACCCCTGGGCATCCCTGACAGCCTTGGGCATCCCCCCAGAGCATCATCTCAGCCCCAGGGGTCTGTCCTGAGGGTCTCCCTGTCCTGAGGGTCTCCGCAAGGGTCCCCATCATCACTGTGCGTCCCAACATCCCCCCTGTTCCAGAGTGTCACCTCCCCAGCCCCAGAGTCCCTGCCCTGAGTCCCCTGGGGGTGTCCCCGGGTGTCTCTGGGGTCAGGGTGGGGTCCCCACAGCTCATTGTCCCCCCCCAGCTCTGCTCTTCGACGGCAGCACCAACCCTGCGCACCCCAAACACATCGGGAGCATCGACCCCCACTGCAACGTGGCCAACGTGGTGAGAGGTTGGTGGGCTCTGGGGGCCTCCCACCCCCATGGGGGTGTGAATTTGGGGCATGAGGGGGTCACCGAATGTTCCCCTAATCCTCCCCTTACTCTGTTTGGAAGCCATTTGCATCACAAGTTTGGGTTGTCCTCAGCAAAAGCATCCCTCGTGCTTTGGGGTCATGCCAGGAGACCCCCAAAACTTGCTGAATCTGTAGGACTGGAAAATATTTGGGGGTGGGGGGCAAACGGGGGGACCTTAAATGCTCCCCCTGCTCCATTTTGGAGGGTGCTGACCACTCTGCTCCTCCCTCCCAGACGCTTACAACATGGCTAAGCTCCTGTGTGACAAGTACTACATGGCCTCACCCGACCTGGAGATCGAGGAGGTGAACGGTGAGGCCAGTCTGGGGGGTCCCTGGAGGCAGAGGGGTCCTAGGGGTGATCATTTAGGGTTGGGGGTCCCTGTGGTAGATGGAGGATTTTGGAGGGGCTCAATTAGGGTTGGGGGTCTTTGTGGTGGGGGGATTCTGGGGTGACTCCTTGAGGGTTGGGGGAGCACAATGATGCCAACAGCTGCTCCTCCTCCCTGCAGCCACCAACTCCCAGCAGCCCGTGAGCATCGTCTACGTGCCCTCCCACCTCTACCACATGCTCTTCGAGCTCTTCAAGGTAACCCCAGCCCTGCTCGGGGATGGTCTGAGGAGGGTTTTTTTTTCCCCCTGAACTGGTGATGCCTCTGTGCCCCCAGAATGCCATGAGAGCCACTGTGGAGAGCCATGAGAGCAGCCCCCGCCTACCTGCCATCAAAGTCATGGTGGCCCTGGGCCAAGAGGACCTTTCCATCAGGGTGAGGGACCACCAGCTCCATCCCAAGGGGGGGTGGGGGGGGGCCAGGAGCAGGGTTGTCACCCCCGCTGTGGTGTCTCACAGATGAGTGACCGGGGTATGGGAGTCCCCCTGAGGAAGATTGAGCGTCTCTTCAGCTACATGTACTCCACAGCCCCCACCCCCCAGATGGGCACTGGGGGAACCCCCCTGGTAGGTGACCCCCGTGGCATGGGCTGTCGGGGTCCCATGGGGTCCTGGGGAGAGGGGAGTGAGGCATGGGTCTGTGAGTGGGGGAGGTTTGTGGGGGTGCCTGGGGTGGATGGGGGTATTTCACGGTGGGTAGAGTGGCTTGGGGGAGTTTTGGGGATGGTTTGGGGGTGGTATGGGGACACTTTGGGATGGCATAGGTACATTTGTGGTGCCTAGGGGTGGCATGGGGACATTTTGGGGTGACGTGGGGACACTTTGGATTGCCTGGGGACATTTGAACGTGGCACAGTGACCGCTGGCAGGGGCACGGACACTTTGGGCTGCACATGGTGCTGCCTGTGGTGACGTGGGGAAGCTTGGGGTGCCCCAGGGGTGCCACCTCAGCACTAGAGACCCTCCCACTCCATTCCTCACCCCTCTCAGGCCGGGTTTGGCTACGGGCTGCCCATCTCCCGCCTCTACGCCAAGTACTTCCAGGGGGACCTGCAGCTCTTTTCCATGGAGGGCTTCGGCACCGACGCCGTCATCTACCTGAAGGTGGGTCTTTCTCCCTCCAAACAAAGGGTTCAGGGCTCTGGGGAGGGGGGCACAGGACCCTGCCCAGCCCCCTGTGTGCCCCCCAGGCCCTGTCCACAGACTCGGTGGAGCGGCTGCCCGTGTACAACAAGTCGGCGTGGCGGCACTACCAGGCCAGCCAGGAGGCCGGGGACTGGTGCGTGCCCAGCACCGAGCCCAAGAACACCTCCACCTATCGCGTGCCCTAAGCCCCCCCCGGGGCTCACAGCCCCCCCCCCAGGCCACAGAGAACCCCTCGCCCCAGCTCACAGGACCCCTAGCACCCCAGGGGGTTGTTGGAGCATCCTGGTTCTGTGGCTCTTTGGGCTCCACTGGAAGTGGGTCCCAGTGCGGTGGGGGGGGGTCTCAGTGGGGTGTGAGGGGGTCCCAGCGCCCCCCACCTTGGTGGCACTTAGGTACTTAGCTGAGAGGAATGGTGGAGCAGCGTGGAGGGCGTAAAGCCCCTGTTGTCCCCTCTCCTACCCCCTCCAACCTTCACACCCACCCCAGGGGGTGCACCCTGGCCCAGCAGGGAACTGGTCTCCTTTCCCAGTATGACCAGTAGCACTTCCCTGCCCTTCCAGCCCTGACAGGCCTGAGTCCCCCACATGCTCTCATTTCCCATCTCCCATCCCTGTTATTGCACTACTGAGCTGTTCTCACCTGCGTGTGCCCCCCACCCCTGCACCTCTTGCACCCCCCACCAGGGGAGTTCCCCACCCCACACATGCTGTGACCTGCTCAGAAACCTCCCCCTGCCCCCCTAAATTCCCCTCTTTCTCCCCCTCCACCTCCCCAGACCATCCCTCCCCACTGTCAGTAAATTGTATGTTGGTTGAGCTCCTGGTGTGGTGTTTTGGGGTCCTGGAAACGCACCCCCCTTGGCACCCCCTAAATGGGTCACTGACAGCCCCACGCCTCAGTTTACCCACTCCCAGGCTTGGGAGGGGGCTGGGCACAGTCACACGGTGGCACTTGGGGACCAGCCATGCTCTGTGCCCTGCCCCCAGCCTGACACTGAACTCCCCCCACCCCATCTTGCCCCCCTGGCCTCACCCCAGTCAGCCTCACACTGGTCACACTGGTTTGCACTGGCCCTTGATACCCTTTTATTTCCTGGGATGGCCTCTGGGACGCCATATTTGGGAGGGTGTGGGGAGGTCAGCAGTTGCCCCCCATGCCCAATTTGGGGGTGTCCCTGTGTGGGGGGGCTCAGGCCACACACTGTCCCCAGCCAGTGCTGGCTGTGACCTCCCTGCCCGCCTTGGGGTGCTGCTGATGGGGTGGGGGGTGATGGGGCAGGATGGGGGTGTCCAATGTGCCACTTGCATCTGGAAAAGGGGCCCCTAGGGGGGAGAGGGGGTCCAGGCTGTGCCTGTGGGGTGCAGGGGTGCAGGCGGGGAGGGGGCTGGAGGAGGGGATGGCACGTGGTGTTCCATGCCTGTCTCAGCCTGGCACCGTCCCTCGGCCGTGCCGGTGTGTCCCACGCTGTGGGTGGGGAGGGGGTGTAGGGGCACTCCCAGGTTCCCCCCTCAACTCCGCCGCTGCTCCTGCAGGTCTTTCTTCTTCTGCTTCTCTCGCTGCTTCTCTGCCTTCTCCTGGGCCTTGCGCTCCCTCTCGGCTGCCAGGCTCAGCTCCTTCAGCTTCCTTTTCAGCACCGCCCTGTCCTGGGGGCTGCCCACCCCCAGCGCCTGCGGGCACAGCAGGGGGCTGGCAGGGGGGCCACACTGCCCCCCAAGCCCTTTGGGGTACCTGGACCCCCCTGCACTGCCTGTCCTCAGGATCACCCGCCCCCTGCAGCAGCACCTTGGGGTCCCCAGAACCTCCTGTCCACCTCCTTGAGTCATCCCTTGGGACACCTGGAACTTCCTGCCCTGTGGAGCCACCAGTTCACACAAGGGGGTTTAGGTACCCCTTGATGAGCCCTTTGGGGTACCTTGAACCCTCACAGACCTGCTCCATGGAACACCCTGTTGGGCTACCCAGAATCATCCCAGACCTTCTTGCCCCATGGAGCATCTTATGGCCCCATGGGGTACCTAGAACCATCTGAGACCTCCTGCTCCATGGGAGGTCCCCTCCCACCCTCTGTTGGGGTACCCAGAACCCTCCCCGAGCTGCAATATGGACCATCCTGTTGGGGTACTTAAAATCTCTGAGACCTCCTGCTCTGTTGGGGTACCCAAAACCTTTGGCCCCACCCCAGAGCCCATTGGGGCACCCAAAACCCTCCCATGCCCCCTCAGCAGAGCCCCCTCCCCCGTACCTTGAGCTTGGCCCCGTTGAGGTGCAGGAGCTGGGGCCCGTCCACGCCATGGGCTAAGAACTCCTGCACGTACTGCTCCAGGCTCAGGCTCTCCAGCCACTGCCCCACCTGCTGGCACGTCCAGCCCACGGCCACGCCGGGGGGCTCCTCCAGGAACTGGCACAGGGCATTAGTGGGGGGTCCCCGTGGAAACAGGAGGTGGAGGCGGGGACACACACCCCAACCTCGCCCCCCTCGCCACATCTCACCTCGTCCGAGGACTGGGACAGGGTGTGGTAGGGGTACGAGCACTTGGTGCGGGGGGCCCGGGCAGGCGGGGGCTTGCGCTGGGCGGGGGGGAGTCCTCGCTCAGCGTTGAGTCCTGGGGCAGCGGGGGGGGGGGTGAGGGCAGAGCTGCCCCCCTCCCCCCCAGAACCTCCCTATAGCACCCTCCCACACCCATAGGGCTTCCAGACACTCCTGGGCTTTCATCCCTCCTAAAGCCATTGTGGGGCTTTGAGCTCTCTCCCTGTAGTAGTTACCCGACCCTATGGGGCTTTGGACAACCCCCTCCCCAAGCCATCTTGACCCTATGGGGCTTTGGACCCCCCTCAATACCTGTCTTGACCCTACTGGGCTTTGGACCCCCTGCCCACTGCCTGTCTTGACTCTGCAGGGCTTTGACAGCCCCCCAAAGCCATCTTGACCTTATAGGACTTTGGACCCCCCAGTACACATCATGACTCTATAGGGCTTTGACTCCCCCCTCCCCCAAGCCATCTTGACTCTATAGGGCTTTGACAGCCCCTCAAAGCCACCTTGACCTTATAGGGCTTTGGACCCCCACCTCAATACCTGTCTTGACTCTAGGGTTTTGACAGTCCCCTCTCCCAAGCCATTTTGACCCTATAGGGCTTTGGACACCCTCCCAATACCTGTCATGACTTTATAGGGCTTTGACACCCCCTCACCCCAGCCATCTTGACCCTATGGGGCTTTGGACCCCCACTCCCCCCAGTGTCTGCCTTGACTCTACAGAGCTTTGACAGCCCCACAAAGCCACCTTGATGCAATGGGGCTTTGGACCTGCCTCCCCCCCTCTCCCCAGTACTTGTCTTGACTCTTTAGGGCTTTGACACCCCCCAGAGCCACCCTGACCCTATGGGGCTTTGTCCCCTGTTCCTACAGCTGATGTCACCTCCTCTCCTGCAGCCACTGAATTCATCAAGAGCATGGATGTCCCTATAGAGCCCCCATCCCCTCCCTTATCCCCACAGTGCCAGGACCCCCCCTCTCCTGGCTGCGCACTGACCTGGGAGGCGGATTTGGCGGGGCTGAGCCCCTCGTGCCGGGGGGAACTGGCGGGGGATGCGGAGCCAGGGGAGACCGAGCCCCTGGCACTGTCCGAGAACCACGAAAAGGGCATGAAGGAGGAGCCCGAGGGGCGGCCAGGACCCTCTGCTGCCTCCCTGGGCACAGAGCCGTGTCAGGGCATGGGGGCTGTACCCAGGCAGCCCCCCCTGCCCTGGCTGAGGGTATGCCTCACCTGCTGCCCATGGACAGGCGGTTGCTGCTCTTCTCCTTCCGGCTCTTACCAGAGGACGCCCGGCGCAGGGTCACCCTGAGGGAGAGGGGGGAATCCTGAGGGTTGTGCTCCCCCCATGGACTCCAGGACTCCACCCATCCATCCCTCCATCCATCCATGTATGTATGCATCCATCCATTCTTCCATCCATCCATCCACACATCCATCCTAGAGACCCCTTTATTCCCTCCAGAGGATCCTCCTCCTCCCTCCACTTGTGCATCCGTCCTCCATGTATCCCTCCATCTTTTCCTCCCTTCAGGCATCTCTCCATCTATGTCTCCCATCTTTCTTTCTGTTACACCTCTTCATCCCTGCATCCATCCCCCCTGCATCCGTCCATCCCCCCAGCCCTCCGTGTACCCACCCTCCATCTCTTCCTGCATCCGTCCCAACACCTCTCTGTGCCCCTTCATCCCCTCTGCATCCTTCTGGCCCTCTCCATCCCTCTCTATCCCTTCCTCCATTCCTTCCTCCATCTCCTTCTGCATCCTTTCCTGGACCCCTCCATCCCCCATGTCCCACTCCACGCCTCCCTTGTGTATCCCCTTGCTCCCCCCAGGACCGGGTCTCACCCTAAGTCCAAGAACTTCCTTCGTGTTTTCTTGTCCAGCCCCACAGTGGGACTGGCAGGCTCAGGGGGGCTCATGTCCCGGCTGTCATCTGCAGAAGGACCGGGGTGTCCCCCACCACCCCCCACAGTGCCGGGGGATGGTCCCAGGGGTCCCTCTATGCTGGGAGGGAGGGGTGTCGAGGTGGAGGTCTCACCTTCGCTGTGCTGCCAGGGCCGGGCATCACGGCGGGCGAAGCCGGGGGAGCTGTCAGAGCTGGGACAGGATTTGGGAACGGGGGGGCCCGACAGCCCCTCCTGGGATGAGGTGTTGGTGAGGGGCCGGTAGCGGCTGAGGGGGGCCGTGGGAGCCGGGGGGTCCCCCAGTGCCACCCTCCCCACCCCCACCTCGGAGGAGAAGTCGCCAGCACGGGAGAAGGACGAGAGCGTCGGGGGGCTACCATCACCCTCAGTGCCCTTTGGGGGGCACAAGGCAAGGGGAGGGGGGGGTCAAACCCCTGCACTGCCCCGGGTTTGTCCCCTAGACCCCCACCCCTGCAGTCCCCCCAGCCATGGCATCTCCCCCTCTAATCCCTGGGGTCCACAGTGCCCCCCAGCCATGGTATTCCCCCTGTAGTCCCTGGGCTTCGTGGTGGCCCCCAACCCTGCAGCTCAGCCATTCCCCTCCAGTCCCTGGGGTCTGTGGGGCCCCCCAGCCATGGCATTCCCTCCTCAGAGCCACCCACCCCTTCAGAACCCCCAGCCGTGACATCCTCCAACACCATCCCTGGGGTCCATGGTTCCTGGGGTCCCCCATGCCTGTTCTACCACCAACCACAGCATTCCTCCCCCTGTACTCCCTGGGGTCCACAGTACCCCCACTCCAGAAACACCCCCAGTCATGGCATCCCACCCCTGTAGTCCTGGGGTTGATGGTGCCCCCCATGCCAGCAACACCCCCAACCACAGCATCCCCCCCTCTAGTGTCCATGGTGCCCCCCGCCCCTGCAGGCCCCCCGCCATGGATTCCCCCCTCTAATCCCTGGTGTCCGCGGTGCCCCCTGCCCCTGGTCTCACTGCAGTGTCGGGCCCCTCATCGCCCTCGGTGGAGCTGGCGCTGTCGCGCAGGCGGGAGCGGGAGGGCCGGTGGCGGCGGCCCTTGGCCAGCAGGCGGGCCCGGGCTTTGTGCAGGCTGCTGTCCAGGCGCGGCGTCTCTGGAACCACAGCGGTAAAATCTGGGGGTGAAAGAGAGACCGGGGCAGAGAGAGAGAGACAGACGGACAGATGGACATGGGGTGCGGTGGGGTGGGATGGGATGGATGAGGACAGAGAAGGAAGATGGGGATAGATGGAGGGATGGAGGAACGGACAAGTAGGGAGAAGGGATGGATGAGTGGGTGGATGGATTGATGGGGAGGGAGAATGAAGATGGGGAGGGATAGAGGGACAGGGAGGGAGGGAGGAAGGAAAAGGGAGAAGGAAGATAGGGATAAAGGGACAAGTAGGGAGGAGGAGAATGGATGGATATATGGATGGATGGGGCAAGGGAAGGGTGGAGGGACAGGTAGGGATAAGGAAGATAGGTAGGATTGGGACAGCGAAGAGGAGATGGATGGACAGATGGAGAGGTAGGGACAAGGAGATACAAAGGAGGGATGTTTGTAAGGATGAATGGACAGGTTGAGAGGGAAGATGTGGATGTATGGAGGGATGGATGGATGGATGGATAAGGAAAAGGAAATGGTGGACAGGTGGATGGGTGGGGCCAAGCAGATGCGGGGGAAAGGAGGGAGGAATGGATTGATGGGAGATGGAGGGATGGATGGCCAAGAAGGGGCAGGTAGAAGAGGACGGGGAGAATTGGAGGAAGGCAGACAGAAGGTTGGGAGAAGGCCAGCCCGGTGAAGAGGGGACAGAGGGACATTGGTGACAGGGCAGGAGAGTCAAAGGGCAGGAGGGGGGTCCCAGGGAGATGGGAGGGGCCACAGGGAGAGGGGAGCATTGGGGACATGGATGGGGCACCCCAGTGGGGCAGGACAGGGAACAGAGGGACAGAGAGAAGTATTCAAAGAGATGCCCCGGCATGGGGAGAGAAGCAGTGGGGTGACCCCAGGTACAGAATGTCCCTGTCACCCACGGGGGCCACGCTTTGTCCATGGTCCAACCAGGATCCCCCTGGTGTCCCTGCCCTGCTGTGACCCCTGTACCCCAACCTAGCTAGAGGGGTGGCTCTGGGCCACATCCTCATGTCCCTGTCACCCTGTGCACACCCCTGGGCCTGTACCCCCATTTCTGTGTGCCCTGTACATGTCCCCATGTCCTCATGTCCCTGCCAGCCTGTGCACGTCCCTGTGCCTCTCCCCATGCCCCCACATTCTTGTCACCCTGTGCACACCCCTGTGCCCACACCTGTGTGTTCCCATGTTCCTCTCACTCTCTGCATGCCCCTGTCCCCTGTATGCGTCCCCATGTCCCCCTGCCCATACACATCCCTTTGTCCCCAAGCACATGTTGTCCCCAAGCCCAGTTTGTCCCCCCCTAAGACAGGAGGACACTGAGAGGTAGGGACCCACAGATAGTTCTGCACTCCACAGGGGGCTCTGCACCACATTTGGGGATCTGCAACCCATGTGCCCACTGGGACTCACCAAAAACCTCATCCATGTCCTGCAGTTTGGAGACTGACATGGTGGGACAGAGCTGGGGACAGAGGGGACAGTCAGGACACCCCCCTGTGCTCAGGGGAGTGAGGGGGAGCAGGGGAGGGACCAGACCCTCTCCCAGTGATTCCAGTGACCCCCTCTGCCCTCCCAGTGATCCCCATGTCCCATGTTACAGGGGGGCGGAGAGGACTGGGGACCCCCTTTGCAGAGCATGCGGGAGGAAGTTAACCCCCCCCGGGGTTCTAGGGGTCTCGCCGTGGGGGCAGGGACTCCTAATGCCTTGGCAGCATCGGGACGGGGGCGGGGGGGGGAAGGAGGGGTAAGTGGGAGGGAGGATCCGCTCCCGGCTCCCTCTCCAGCCCCTCCCTCCCCCCAAGGAACGGGGCCAGCGGGTGGTGGGGGCTGGGGCGGGGCAGTATGAGGAGGGGACAGGACCGGGGGTGATGTAGCTGTGTTAGGAGCTGTACCGGGATGGGGCCGTACCGGGGATGCTGTACCGGGATGGGGCTGTACCGGGGCTGTCCCAGGGGATGGTTCTGTACCTGGGGTGGGGCTGTACCGGGGATGGGGCTGTACAGGGGCTATACCGAAGGACGGGGCTGTACCGGGGCTGTACCGGGGCTGGTGTATCTGGGGTGGGGGCTGTACCGGGGCGGGGCTGTACTGGATGTGTACCGGGGGATGGGGCCGTACCGGGGGCTGTACCGGGGATGCTGTACCAGGGCTGGGGCTGTCCCGGGGCTGTCCTGGGGGTAAAGGGATCTACCGTGGTTGTACCGGGGATGCTGCCCGGGGGATGAGGCTGTACCGAGAATACTGAACCGGGGGGATGGGGCTGTCCCGGGGGAGGGGCTCTACCGGGAATGCTGAACCGGGGCTGTACAAGGGATGCTGTCCCGGGGGTGGGGCTGTCCCGGAGGTGGGGCTGTCCTGGGGATGCTGTACCGGAGATGAGGCTGTACCAGGGGATGGGGCCATCCCGGGGCCGCTGTCCCGGGGTGACGCCCTATCCGTTTCCCCCGACTCACCGGCGCTCCTGGGGCATCCTGGTCGCCCCCGGTCGCCTCTCGCCGGGCTGGGTCGGGGCCGTGGCGAGGCCGATGGGAGCGGAGGGCGCTGCCGAGCCGCGCCGAGCCGCCCCGCCGGGCCGGGGGCCGCGGGGGGGGCACAGGAACCCGGAAACGGCGGGGGCGGGGGGGGCAGGGTCAGCCCCGCCCGGAGCGGGGCCGGTGCTAAACGGACAGAGATGAGGGGGCACAGGGAGGGGGTGTGTGGGGGATACACGGGGATGCTGAACGGATAGCGACGGGTGGCACTGGGAGGGCACTGGGCACGAGGTGAGGGGGGGCATGCGGGGGTGCTGAACGGACAGGGACGCGGGGGCTCTGAGGAGGGGTACCGGGCATGGGGAGGACAGACGCACACACGGGAGTGCTGAAGGGACAGCGACGGGGGGGTACAGGGGGGACACTGGACACCGGGCACGGACGGACCGACGTGCACACACGGCGGTGCTGAACGGACAGCGACCGGCCGGGCACGGGGACACCGGGCACCGACTCACCGGTGAACCCCATCGTGCCCAGTGTCTCCCATCCTTCACAGTGCCCCGAAGTGCCCCCCACCTATGGCAATGTCCCCCACATGCTACTCACTCCTCCCAGTGCCGCCCGCCCCAGTTCTTTCCATTCCTCCCAGTGCCCTCCAGTCTTTCCCGCTCCTCCCAGCGCCTCCCCATGCTGCCCACTCCCTTCCAGTTCTTCCCACTTCCCCTAGTTCCTCCCAGTCCCTCGCATTTCTCTCAGTGCCCCTATCCTGCCCATCCCCTCAGTTCGCCCCAATCCCTCCCACTCCTCCCAGTACCCCCTCATCCTGCCCACTCCCCTCCAATTCTTCCCACTCCTTCCAGTGCACTCCCAGCCTCCTCGGTCCCCCACCCTTCCCGCTCCTCCCCATGACCCCAATCACTCCCAGTCTTCCCTATTCCCTCCATCCTTCTCAGTCTCACCCATCGCCCCCCGAGCCCCACCAACCGTCCCTCCCCGGACCCATCCGCGGGCAGAAGGAGGCGGGGGGAGGCCTGGGCCGCGTTTATGGGGTGGGGGGGCCGCGGACGCTGCGTTACAAAAGGAGGACCAGTACATACATAGGTACATTATATATAGTATATACACCCACAGGTACACGTGTGAGATTAAATAATCCCGCCCCCCCCGGGGCTCGCGCTCCCCGACCCTCCCTTAAATATTCCTCCCCCAAGTGGCTCCAATCCAGTCGGACCCCCATCCCCCTCCCCGCCCGCGTGCCCCCCCACGCCTCCCACTCCCCGTATAACCAGCTCTGGCTCCCAGTTGCCCCCACATCCAGTTACTGTCGGAGACTCAGTACTTCGGGGCGGGGGGCGGGGAAAATAGAAATGAAAAATAAAGGGGTTCCCCCCTGGGCCGAGGGGGTGGGACCCACGACCCAGCTGGGGGTGGCCAGCGGTGGGGCGTGTCCCAGCCCCAGAGAAATACTGTGGTTTTGGGGGAGGGGGGAGTATTTACAGTTGGGGGGGGGATGACGGCATTGCCTCCACCCTGGAGGGGGACCCCCGCGTATTCCCCCCCCGCCCAGGGAAGGCGAAAACCCCGGGCTCTGGGAGGGTAGTGGCGGGTGCTCGGGGGCACTGGGGACCCCCACAGTGGGGTGCTGGGCAGCCTCCCCATTCCCAGGGGGGCAGTGGGGCTGGTGCCCCCCCATCCCGCTGCAGGGGTTGGCAAAGGCTAGGGAGGATGTCCCTCCTGCCCGGCGATGGTGGCACTGAAGCAGGGTGAGAGGGGGGCACTTGGGTTCCCCCCTGCATGGCGATGGTCCCGGGCACCGACCCCGAGGGGGGCACATCGTTGTGGGGCTGGGGGCGAGTCCGTTGGGGGTGGGCAGGAGGGGCCAAGGCAACCGGCCCCCAGCCCGTGCTCCAGGTGAGTCCCAAGAGAAGGAGCTGGGGATTGGGGGATTTCAGAGTACCCCCAATATGGCTCACATTTGGGGAGGGCATTGTCCTGTCCCCGCCCCACAGCGTCCAACCAGGGTGCCAGCTCTGTGTCCGGGGGTGGGGGTCACATCGAGGAGGGGGAGGCCTTGGGGAGATGTGCTCCCCATCGGTCCATCACGTCACCACGAGACTCACACTGGACACAGACACGAACGCAGGCTGTCCCCCCCCGAAACACCCCCTCTGGGAGACGCACCCCCCCCAGACACACTGTCTGTGCCCCCATGGGGGAGTGGGGGGCACCAGGAGGCCTTGGCGGGGGTCTTATCTCCTTCCCGGTGGGGAAGAGGTTGGGAAGGGGCAGATGGCAGGGCTGGGGGGTGGTTTGGAGAGAAGAAAGGGGAGCCCCCGAAATCGCTGTGGTTTGAGGGTGGTTTAAGTCGGGTTGGAATTTTTCAAAGTCTGCAGCTTGGCCTCCAGTTCAGAGATCTGAAAAACAGCAAAGGGGACAGGTCTCAGCGGGGGGCCGGGGAGGGGGGCACACACTGGGGGCTGGGGGACACACAGGGGTGGGGGGACATGGCTGTGAATGTGGGATGGGGGACAGGATGAGGATAGAGGGATGGGGACATGGAGATGGGGGGACAGGATGGGGGGGATGGATGGGACTGGTGGGGAAGGACAAGGGGAGCAGGACATGGGGGTGCTGGGGCAGGGGGAGGCACAGAGCAGTGGGAAGGAGGAGGTAGAGGGCAGGGGGATGGCATGGAGAGGCAGGAGACTGGAGGGATGGATGGGACAGGGATGGGGGCACAGAGATGGAGGGCGGATTGGGAACACAGGGACAGGGGAACAGACAGGTGAAGGGGGGCAGGAATACGGGGGCAGACTGGGGGCACAGGGATGGGGAGGGGTGCAGGGATGGGAAGGGGGGAGGATGGGGAAGGGGCTGCAGGCAGGCAGTGGGTGAGTCTCTGTGGGATGTTGGGGGATATTTTCGGGGTGACGGAGCTGGGTGCCACAGATGTCCCTGCTGTGCCCTGGTGCCCCCCAGCTGGGCAGGGGCCGGCCCCCTCCACTGTGACCCATGGCAGACCCCTGGAATCCTCTGGGATCTGGTGAGCCCATGTAGGATCTGGTGACCCCATAGGGGATCTGCTGTGGCCCTGCATGGCTCTGACCCCACCGCTGGGGGGGATCCAGTGTGTCTGGCATGGAATCCAGTGGCGTCTGTTGGGGGATCCAGCATGACCAGCATGGGATCCAGCTCCCAACAGGATCACGTGGGATGATCTCTGGGGAAACCCTGCGGGATCCTGCACAAGCAGCCTGGGATCCAGCGCCCCAGATCTCTTTGTGGGCTGTCAGACCCTGGAGCAGGATCCGCAGGCAGATCTCCTGCAATCCAGCGTGGGATCCGGTGCCAGGAGTAGGCCGAGGCGTTGCCCAGCACCTGAGCAGATACGCTGTGATCCGGTGGCAGGAGCACGATCCCGGTGGGAGCCCCAGGCAGATCCACTGTGACCCGGGGTGGGATCCAGTGGCCGTATTTCAGTCCAGAGGGAGCCAGTGCCCCACACAGCTCCACAACCACGGGGATCCAGTAGGCCCGGCAGATTCCCCACGATCCATCGGTGACGGAGCCCCAGGAGCAGCGTGGCTGTGGCTGGGCAGGGCCAGGGGGCTCAGGGACACCCCTGGTCCCGGCGCCCGGTGCCCACCTTCTCCTGCAGCTTCTCCATCTCCTCCTTGTGTGCCAGCTCTGACTCCTCCAGCACCCGCCGCTGCGCCGTCTCCTTCTTCAGGAACTCGATCTCCCTGTGGGAATCGACGCATGGGTGCACAGCTGCCCCCCCGGCACTGGGGACTCCCCAGGGAGGGGGACCAGGGCAGGGGGATCCTGGGACATCCAGCTCAGGGCAGGGAATGAGGGATGCACAGGAGCCCCAGGGATCATGGAATCATCAAATCATGGAATAGTTTGAGTTGGAAAGGACCTGATGCCCCACGGATCATGGAACCATCAAATGATGGAATAGTTGGGGTTGGAAGGGTTGGAAGCTCATCTCATCCCAATCCCTGCTATGGGCAGGGACAACTTCCACTATCCCAGACTGCTCCAAGCCCTGTCCAACCCGGCCTTGATGGATCCACATCACAGGGAAGGTCCCTGCACAGGGAGTGGTCTGTGCCAAAGGAACAAAGGGTGCCCAGGAAGGATTAGATGCCCCAGGGATGGGTCTCTGTCAAGAGGAAGGCTCCTTCCTAGGGCATGGTCCATGAGCAGGATGGAGTTGGTTCCCCAGGAATGAGTTCCTGCCCAGTGGAAGGTCCCTGCCCAGGGACAAAGGGTGCCCATGAAGGGGTCAGAGCCCCACAAGAGGATCCACGCCAAGGGCATGATCTGTGTCCAGGTTATGTGGCTGTGCCCAGGGACAGGGGGTGCCTGGGAAGGATCTGGTTCCTTCAGGATGGATCCATGCCCAGAGGATGGCCCAGCCCAATTGCACGGTCTGTGCCCATGAACAGGGGGTGCCAGGGGAAGATCTGGTTCCTGGGGGACAGGTCCATGCCCAGGGGATGGCTCAGCCCAATGTTCCCAGGGACCACGGGTGCCCAAGAAGGATCTCATTTCTGGGGAATGGATCCACGTATGAGGGATGGTCCAGTGCAATGGCACAGTCTGTGCCCAGGGATCAGGGGTGCCAGGGGAAGATCTGGTTCCTGGGGGATGGATCCATGCCCAGGAGATGACCCAGCCCAATGTTCCCAGGCACCAGGAGTGCCTGGGGAGGGATCAGTTCCCAGGGGACAGGTCCATGCCCAGGTGTACATGGGGTGCCTGGGGGAGGACGGGCAGGGGGTGGGCGCTGCCCTCACTTCTGCTGGTACTCCTTGATGAGCCTCTTGGCCTTGCTGTACTTGCGCTCCAGGGTCTGGTACTGGGCCTGGGTCTCCTTGAGGTGCTCGTCCACAGCCTGGCACAGGTTCTGGGCCTCCATCCAGTATCCTTCCAGCTTCTCCATCCGCTCCTTGTTCTCCTCCACGCTCTGCTCCAGCTGGGCCTTCTCGGCCCGCCAGCGTGCCTTCTCCTGCTCCAGGCACTGCAGCTGGGGTGGCACATCATGGCACAGTCAGGGAGCAGGATATGACACGGCATGGAACAGTCAGGGAGCGAGATATGGCACAGCATGGTATGGCAGAGTCAGGGAACAGGATATGGCATGGCATGGTACAGTATGGCATAAACAGGGAAAAGGCATGGTATGGCACAGAAGGGCACAACCAGGGAACAGCTATGACATGGCACAGCAGGGCACAACCAGGGAACAGGCATGGCATGGCTCAGCAGGGCACAAACAGAGAACAGGCATGGCGTGGCACAGCCAGGTGACAGGCAGAACATGGCATGGCACGTGCAGGGCAGGGGTGGGGATGTGAGGAACTCGGAGAGGATGGTGGAGATGGAGATCCAGGCGTGCTAGGGGAGATGTTAGTGTGTTCCCCCCTCCCCGGGCAGCCGGGACCCCTAGACCTCCACTCACCTTCCTCTTGAGCTGCTGGATCTCGGCCTCGGTGACGGCGTGTTTGATCTGGAGCTGCGGGAGGAGCCAGTGTGGGCACGGGGTGGGCACACACGTGTGGGCATCTCCCTCTCCCCCGGCTTCCCCCCAGCTCCTCCTCACCTCTTTGAACTTGTGCACCAGCTTCTCAGGGTCCATCTCCACAGGGGACAGCGTATCCTCGTTCTCAGCCAGCTCAAACACCTCGATGGCCATCTCCCCGCCGGGGAACATGGGGCTCATCTCCTCCTCCTCATCCGTGGCATATTCACCTGTCTGGGGAGGGTACAGGGCACCATTGGCACCCCCACCCAGCGAAATGGCACCACCAGCCCAGTACGGGGGGAGGACCCTGGGTGGGTGGGCATTGTCCCCTCACCTCCTCGTCGTCCTCAGTGTACTGGGTGTAGCGCTGCTCGATCATCTCCCGCTGCCACCGCTCCTGCTCCAGCGTCTGCTGGATCAGCTGCGCCACCTCACTCTGCTCCCCTGGCTTCTCCCGCCCGATTAGGAACCTGGGGAGCAGCAGGGCATGGGGGGGTCAGCAGGGACAGAGGGGCCTGGCCGCAGGGGGACAGGGCAGGGGGACACGTCTGAGGCCATCCCTGCAGTTCTCCTGGGTTTAGGGGGAGTTATGGGAGCTGGGAAGGAGTTGGGAGCGTTTTGGGGGTGACTCGGGTGGCACAGGGCAGGCAGTGGGCATGAGGAGGGAGTGATATTTATGAGGGAGGAGTGGTATTTCAGGGAACAGCCCAGTTTGGGGACAGGCAATGGGGCAGGGACCACAGGGCTCTCAGCACAGATTCTGGGGGTCTCCCAGCCCCCCAAGTCCCCCAGCCCCGAGTCCTACCGGACGCGGCCCTTGGTGTTCCTGAGGACGGAGGCGGCGAAGCTCTGGGTCACCCCCACCAGGCTGGTGCCATCCACCTCCACGATCAGATCGTTCACCTGGATCCTGGGGACAAGGGGACCATCACAACAGGACCATCCCTCACCCACCTCCCCTACCCCAGGAACATCTGGATTATCATCTGTTCCCACCCTGGGAACACCTGGATCATCTACTTGCTCCCACCATGGGAACACCTGGACCACGTCCCTGCTCCCATCCTGGGAACACATGGACCATTGGCCTGTTCCCACATCAGGGAACACCTGGACCATCTCCCTGCTCCCAAGGAACACCTGGACCATGTCCCTGCTCCCACCCCCATGCCAGGAGCAGCTATACAGGTGGGTAGTCCCCCCAGCCCGTACCTGCCATCCCGGTGGGCCGCCCCTCCTTCCGTCACCGTCTTGACGAAGATTCCCAGCTTCTCCAGGCCCATGTCGGCCCCCGCTCCCATCCCGATGATGCTGATCCCCAACCCTTCGGAGTCTGTGGGGACAGACAGACGTGTCCTGGAAGGGTGACCATGGCCACCCAACACCACAGAGTCACCTCCAAGGTGCCACAGCGGTCCTGGGGTGTGGAATAGGGTAAGGACCCACCTTTCTCCAGCTCCACAGGGAAGAGGTCGAGTCTCTCCACCCTCTTCTCCAGCTCATACTCAGCCGAGGCGGCCATGGGGTCAACATCCTCATTGCGGCGGTCATAGTCCTCGTTGGAGTAAGTGCTGAACACCTGGTGGGAACAGAGAGCTGCTCAGCCAGGTGGGAAAACACCAGGGACACCACAGCAATGGGAATCCTGGGGAGGGAGAGGCCCGGGCACGGGCAGCATGGGGGAATGACCCTGTGAGACACTGGAGAATCCCCCTCCCCACATTGTGTCGTGGAGCGAGGGGGAGATGAGGAAGGACAAAGGGTTTGGAGGAGGCTCCAGGAGAGGAGGTGATGCCTGCACCCCATGGAAGGATGGATGGATGGATGAAGAGGTGGATGGATGGAGGATGAAGAGGTGGACGGATGGAGGGAAGGAGGGAGGGATAGATGGAGGGATGAATGGATGACTGGAAAAAGGAAGGAAAGAAAGATGGATAGGTGGAAGAATGGATGGATGAAATGAAGGAAAATAGAAGGACGAGGCACCTAAAATCCCTGGGCATGTTGACTCTTGTTGTGGGGCACCTCTTCACCCTCCCATGACAAATCCCTGGGGATGCTGACCTCATTGTGAGACACCCCTAAACCCCCCCTGGCTGAGGTCGGATGTGCCTCCAGGACATTGTCCCCAGCATGGAGCCGGAGGGAGTGGGTGCCACATCCCCTGGGGGCTCCTGGGGAGGGGCTGGAGGGGGCTGGGCCTGGCAGATGTCCCTGGAGGGGCCCCAGCCCCTCGATGCTGCTGGAGCGAGTGGATTAGGGATAACACCGTGGTGATAAAGCCTGGACACAAAGGGTATTAGGGATGAGTGTCAGGGGACAAAGCCCAGTAACACCCACAGAAGGGCAGGACCCACACGGGTGGCACCCACGGGTGACAGCAAGGAGCAGGACAGGGGACGTGCCAACATGCCCCCATCCACACGAGCTCCCTAGGGGGCTGTGGGCACATATCCCCCCTCACTCTGGTGTGCCCCCCACCCCACTACAGGCCCTGGGGGATTTGGGATGTGTGGGGGACCTGGAGTAGATTCCAAGGGAGAAGCAGATGAAGCCAAGGGAAGGGGTTGGTGGTGTGTGCCCCCAGTGCTGGGCTGGGTGGGGGTCCCCAATATCTCCAACCCCTACAGTGGGTTTGGGGGGCTCAGCATCATCCCCATTCCTGGGCAGGGGCCTGGATCCCCTTCTCCACCCACCCCCACACATAGGACCCCCACCCCCCCCGACCCTGAGGTGGGTAAAAGCAAGAGGTTAAAGGCTGTGCTGTGGTGAACAGAGCACCCCAAAAACGCATCCACGGCCAGGTCACCATTCCCAGGGCCAGCCTGGCTGGTTCCCACAGGACTGCAACGTGCAGCCACTCCAGCACACAGCCACCACTGCCACCTGCACAGGCCACGGTGCTCTCTGTCCCCCTGTCCCCCTGTCCCAGGTGGGGCCACCCACCCGCTCTGACTCAGAGCCAGAATATAGGCCGGGGCTCTAAAAATAACCCGGCTCCAGCACAAAGCAACCGCTACTCCCGCGGTCGGGGGGATCCGTGCAGGAGAGAACACCCCAAAATAGCTGCACAGCCCCTTTACCCCCTCCCTTCACTGGGGGACCATCCTGGGGAGGGACTCCAAATCCTGCCAGGATCCCCAGCAGAGAGCGAGGGGTGCTCAGGCGATGCCGCCCACCCAGCCATGCTGCCACAGCACTTCCCCTTCCTCCACTTCCCGAAACAGTTCTGGGCACCAGGCTGGGCACACGAGGGGGAGTACATCCCTCCCCCCAGTGCCACCTTGTCCTCTGGGACCCCTGGTTTGGTAGGAGTCCTGGCACCAAGGGACGCCCAGGACCAAGGGTGGCACAACCCCAGTACCCAGCACCTTGTACACGGATATTTTAGGCATCCCCTCACAAAATATGGTGTGCATCTTGGCCCGTCCCAGGAGGGTTGTCACTGGTTGTTGTGCACAGTCCACCACAATGGGTACCTAAGCCCATCACACCAGCCCCAGGGGACCCCTCATTGGCAGAGGGTGCCCACCATGCCTGGGCATGGCCCTTCATTAACTAGCTCGTTTGCCAGGCCCAGGTCCAGCTTCCTGCAGTGCAAGGGCATGGCCAGGAGGATTGCCATGGCCCATGGAGGGCACAGACCTTCAACCCATTTCTCTGTCTCCTCCAAAGGGGTGATTTTGTGGGAGTCGCATACACCAGTTTGGGCTACCCCTAACCCTGGGACACCCTTCCCTTTAGGGTAACCCTCATCTCAGGTTGCTCACCCACCTGGGGCCCCATTGGGTACAGCCAGGGTACCCCTCACCCTGAGCACCCCTCACCTTAAGGTTTTCCTCATCCTAAGGTGCCGCTCACCTTGGGGTACCTCTCACCCTGGTTACCTTTCACCCTGGGTACCTGTCACCCTGGTTACCCCTCACCCTGCAGTACCCTTCACCCCAGGTTCCCTTCCTCCCTGGCCAACCCCCACTCCCAGTCAGTCTCACCTGGATGGGGGCTGTGCTGAACTGGATCTTGCGGTTGGGGATGGGCTCCTCTTCCTCGGACAGCCCAGGGATCTCCACACAGCCCGACTCGGGCTCGTACAGCCCTTCGGCCTCCTCCTCCTCCTCCAGCCCGCTGCCCCCCGAGTCATCCCCGAGACCGCTGTAGGCACTTATGTCCACCAGGTCCGCCTCGGAGAAGTCCTCCTTCTTGGCCTCCTCGTAGCCATCACCCTCCTCCACCCGCTCGCCCTTGACACCCTCCTCGCCTGCGGCCACCCCGGTACTCCCATCCAGCCGTGGGGTGGTAGCCGCCGGACCCTCGTCCCCCTTGGCCATTTGGGGAGCAGGTGGCACTGCTTCACCCACTGCCACCACCTCCTCCTCCTCATCCTCTCCGCTCTCCTCCACCTCCACCGGCTTGATCTTGCAGACCTCCTGCACCCGTGGGGTGACCGGTTCCTTCTCTGCTGGCCTCACACTCTTGCTTGGCACCTTCTCCTCCTCGGGCGGACGGGCATGGGTTGGGGCAGGGTGCCCATCGCCCTGGCGCCCAGCCTCGGCACCCGGCACGAAGACCCGCGGCCGCTTGCCCACCACCTTGGCGTTGAGCGGTGCTCCCGCCCTGCCCTGCGTCTTGTGCAGGTTGTTCCGGAGATCGGCCTTCTCGAAGACGGCGCTGAGCTGGCTGACCGTGGGCGACACGGCGTCAGCATCCAGCTTGTCCAGGGACTCAGTGCTGCCGTTGAACCTCACAACCACGTCCAGCTTGCGGTCCTGAAAGCCGGCGCGCTCCTTGCGGAGCAGCAGCTTGGTGGTGGTGGCCTTCTCCTGCGGGCTCCTCTCGAAGATCTTGCGTGTCTCCTGCAGCTTGGAGAAGGGCTTGTCAGGCTTGGAGTCGAAGCGGCTGACCCGCTCCGAGACACTGGTGCCCAGCTTGAGGAGGTTGCCCTGGTCCATGGTCTCACTGAGGCTGCCGGCACGGGGCAAGGAGAGGCGCACCGGCTTCTCCTTGGCCTTGGCCAGGTCGCAGGTGCCCTCGGGGCCGGGCGCCGTCCCCATCTGCAGGAACATGTTCTTGATCCGGTGGACGTTGGAGCCATACTTCTTGCCCCGACTCTTCTTGCCGTCCTCGCCGCCGTCGGCCTCCTTTGTGGGCGCCAGGGCCTGGATGGTGGCCTCGTAGGCGTTCCGGTGCGGGGACGCGCTCCGCAGCCCCCCGCCGCCCGCCGCCCCGCCGGAGGAGGGAGACCCCCGGCGGCCGCCCTCCGCCTGTCTCCGTCCTCAGCATGGCTCCGCCGCTTCTCCCCGCAGCATCGCTCGCCGCCGCCGCCCCCGCCGAGCCCCCCGCTCACGCCGCGGCCCCTCGCCGGCTACAGCGGCATCGGGGAGGGCGAGGATGCTGCCGGGGGGGGCCGCCGCCGGCACACCTGCACCGGCCGGCTGCCAGGCCCCGTCAGGCCATGTCCATCCTCGGCGGGACCCCCTCCCGCCCTGCTCCGCCACGGCCCTTCTTCCTTCCTCCCTTCTCCTCCTCCTCTTCCCCTTTCTCTGTGGCTGGCGATGGAGCCGCCGCTGCCTGCGCGCTCTGCCCGCCCTGCTGCCCGCAGAGCCCTCTGGGTCTTAGCAGCGCTCGCTCGCTCTTCCTCTTCCTCAGCGCCGCGCTTCGGCCTCAGCGCCGCCACCGCCTCAGCGCGACCATGGGGACCCCCTCCACCCCCACCCCAAAGCCCCCGCTCCCTTACGGTCCCCTCCCGCACCCGCTGGAGGGTCCCCTCCCTGTGGCGTGTCCCCCGAGCATCCGCGCTGTGCAGTGTGGGTCCCCCCGCGCCGGCTTGGCCACTGTTACCACCCCCCCAGCGCTGTCCTCATGTGTCCCCTCAGTCCAGCTCTGTCCCCCCAGCTCTGTCCCCGTGTGTCTCTCAACTCCCCATCTCTGCTCCCAACCGTGTCTGTCTGACTGTGCTCCTGTGCCTCCCCCCCCCCCCGCCAGTTTTGTCCCCGTGGCCCCCAGGCTGGTCCCCGTGTGACCTCGGTCCTGTCCCTGTACCCCCTAGTTCTATATTCACACCCCGTGGATCTTCCTCTACATTCCCTCCCGTCCTGTCCCCCATCCTGCCCCTATATTCCCCGAGTTTGCCCCCATGTCCCTCTGAGTTTGTTCCCATATACCCCCACCCTGTCCTCATACACTCCCCCCCGCTGTTTATACCCACATCCAACCCCAAGTTTGTACCTACGTCCCTCCATCTGATCCCCGTGTCCCCCCAAATTTGTAACTACATCCCCCCATCCTGTCCCCATGCCTTTCCTGGGTCTGTCCCTGTATCCCCCTGCTCCTCTAACTGTGTCCCCTCAACTTTATCCACGTCCCCCTCATCCCCCTCCCTGTGACCTCCACATTCCCATGCCCAAAGGCCCCCACCTCCAGGTGTCCCGTGGTGTCCCTCAGTCTACTTTCTGTCCTCCTAAATCCATCCTGGGGGTGCTGCACATCCCCTCTGACACCTCCACTCAGGGGTGGCAGGAAGGGAACTTCCTGAGGCGGGGGGCCCGGAGTAGGGAACTATGGTGCTGCTCCCCTCATTCCTGCAGAGACCAGGGGGTATTTTGGGGGGGCTGTTTGGGGGGTTCTTGTCTTCTCACTGGCAGGTGGGGGTGAAGGTCAGACATGACAACCTATGGCTGTGTTGGGGGTCCTTGCTGCGTGAGGAGTCCCTGGAGGGGGTGGAGGGAAGGGTAGGGGGCACCCTTGCCCCTCCAGTCTGGAGCAGCAGGACCCTGCAGCTGTGTGTGTGTCCCCCAAGGCATCTCCCGGCCCTTTGTGTGTGATGTGGTGTGACGAGGCATGACATGGTGTGACGAGGCATGACGTGATACAACATCCCCCTCACGACCACCCCCTTTCCCTTCCACCACTGCCACCCACCCCCCAAGCCCCACCACAGAGTCCAGTCCCCATCAGTGCCATCCCCTGCTATGCCAGTGCCCTCCGTCCATGTCACTGTCCCCACGCACCCATGAGTGTGCACACGTGCATTCCCATCTTGGTACCACACGTGTGTGCAGGGCAGTGGTGGTGGCCATGCTGGTGGGGGCTATCCCCTAGTGTCTCCCATCCCGTGCCCCCATTGCCACCCTGGTACCCTTAGTGGGGCACTGGAACAAGCCCACCCAGAGGACATCCCATGGGACCCCTCCAGGGGACACAGGAGCCCCTCGACAGCCCCAGTGCTCTGTGCCTCAGTGGCAAGAGGTGGCTGTGGCAGGGTGTCCCCTGTGGGACCCCCCCAGGAGGGCCCCCCTGGCCTGGGCAGCCCCTGCTGCCTCTGTCAATCAACCCTGGCCCCATTCCCAGTGCTGGCAAAGATGGAGATCCCCAAGCTGCTCCTGCTCTGGGTGCTGGCAGGCGAGTAAAAGCCCCGTCACCCCCCCGGGGGGACACGGCTGGGCCTGGGGGACCCCGAGTAGGGAGTATGGAGGGGGCACCCAGAGCGGGGTGGGCATGAGGGGTGCAAATGGGAGAGGACATGGGGACAGGGCTGGGACGTGACAGAGCTAAATAAAACCGTCCTGTCACGGGTGCCAGCTGGGTTTGGGACAGGGCGGGGGACAGTGAGTGGGACCTTGGCGTGATGGGGCCAGGGAAAGAGAAAGTGCTGGCTCCATACCTTCCCTGTCCCCATCTTGTCCCCATCCCCATCCTGTCCTTGTCCCCATCTCGTTTGACCCCATCACCACTTTGTACCTATCTCATCCCTGGTCCCATCCCTGCCCCATGCCTGGTGCCATTCTGTCTCTGCCACCATCCTGTCACCATCCCCATCCTGGTCTGACCCTGTCCTATCTCTGTCCCCATCCCCATCCTGGTCTGACCCTATCCTATCTCTGTCCCCATCCCCATCCCTATCCCATCCTCTCCTAAATATATCCCCACTCCACTGCCTTGGGACACTTGGCACTGCAGGGACACATTTCTGTCCCAGGGGGTCTGTGGCTTGTCCCAGGGTCTCTGCGAAAGGGAACCTGAGGAAGGGAAGAGCCGGGTATCCCCAACCCTGGCTCCAACCCTGTGTGTGGTCTCTCAGCCGTGGCCCTGGGGGTGTCCCAGGCCACCCTTCTCGACCACCGCGTCCTCCCTGATCAACGCATCTCCTCCGAGACGGGAACCATCTTCGTCCATGAGCTGGAAAGGGAGCTGTTCCAGGAGGCCTTTCCCACTGGGAGCGAGGATGATGATGGTGAGGGCCAACATGGGAGGACTGGGGGGATGGGACTCGTAATGGGGGCACTGGACAATGCTGCCTGCCAGTCCCCACCCCAGCTGGGCTGTCCATCCATCCATCCATCCATCCATCCATCCATCCATCCATCCATCCATCCTTCTCTCCCTTCCTCCCTGCAATACATCCCTCCCTCCTACCCTCCTTCCATCCATCCTTCTATCCCATCCCATCCCATCCCATCCCATCCCATCCCATCCCATCCCATCCCATCCCATCCCATCCCATCCCATCCCATCCCATCCTCCATCCCTCCATTCCTTCCACCCTCCATCCCACCCTCCATCCCTTCCTCTCCACTTCCCACCCCTTTTGAGACCCCCCGAGCAGTGTCAACCCCCCTGAAGCAGCACTGAGTGTCCCCTCCTCTGGGTTTCCCCTCCATTTGGGGGATCAGAACCCCCAGGGATCATCCCTGTTTTCTTGTGGAGACCAGTTGGACAGGGAAGGACTTCTCAGACGGAGGGGTCCACCCACATCACAACCTGTGTCGTCCACATGTCTGTGTCCATTCCCACCCACCCATGCGTCCCAGCAGCCCTCATCACCTTCCAAACTCACCTGTGGGACCACCCGGACCTGCCGCGGTGGCTGCGGTACCTCCAGCGGGACCCCCGTCAGCCTGGCTACCTGTATGGTTGCCCCACGGCCAGTGAGGTGGGCACCCACACCATCGAGGTAGGTGCCCACCCTCACTCCCCCTGCTTCTGGGGTAGCACAGGAAGGGGTGGCATCTTCAGGGGTGTCCCCTGTCCTTGCAGGTACTGGCCTACAACCGCCGGACTTATGCCACGGTGTCCCAGCGCCTCGTCATCACCGTCATCCCCGCCCCAGGTGAGGGCTGAACACCTGCAGATTACACCAGGATACCTCCCAGGACGGGCAAGGGGTGTCCCCATAGGTGTTGTGTGTCCCTCCACAGGTGGGGAGCCCCCCTACCAGGGCGAGTTCCTGGTGGGGAACAGGAACGTGGAAGAGCTGCTGCCGGAGGCCGCACGGGAGATGTTCCTGCAGTGCTCGTCCGGAGTCTGGGAGCGCAGAGACCTCCAGGTCATCAACATCACCTCCGCCTTGGACCGCGGTGGCCGTGTCCCACTGCCCATCGAGGGGCGCAAGGAGGGGTATGGGCAGGGCTGGGGAGGCTGGGGGGACTGGGGCAGACCCTGGGTGGGTTTTGGGGGTCACCGCCAGCCGGTACCCCCTGTTCTGTATGCAATGGTGGGTTCCCATGGGGCCTTCTGGCCATGGGTGGACTTTGGGGGACCACTCCCACTGCAAAATGTACATGACCCAAGACCCCTTCTCACCTTGGGTGGGTTTTAGAGGGCCAGTGTCCCCAGCCTCACAGGGTGCACGTGATGGTGGGTTCCCATGGGGTCTTCTTGATGTTTTTTGGGGGGCTCACCTGAAGATGCCTTAGGGTGTACATGAGGGTAGTTTCCCATGGCCCCTTCTCACCATGGGTGGATTTTGGGGGGCCACCTCCAACCAATGTCCCCCTCTCCCCAGGGTGCACATAAAGGTGGGCTCCCATGGCCCCTTCTCCCTGTGGGAGGGGTTTTGGGGGCCTCCCTCCTGCAGTGTGTACATGAAGGTAGGTAGGTTCCCATGACCCCATCTCACCATGGGTGGGTTTTGAGGGCCACCTCCACCTCAGTGTGTATGTAAAGGTGGGCTCCCATGGCCCCTTCTCACTGTGGGTAGGTTTTGGTCGGGGTCACCTGCAGCCATTGTCCCCCACCCTGCAGCATGTACACGAAGGCAGGTTCCCATGGCCCCTTCTCACTACGGGTGGGTTTTGGGGGCCCACCTCCACCACAGGGTGTACGTGAAGGTGGGCTCCCACAGCCCCTTCTCCCCATGCCTGGAGTCGGCAGTGTCCCCCCAGAGCCGATTCCGCTGCAGCCTGGGCCAGCAACCCCTCGCCTCCTGCTATGACACCTTCGCCCCCCACTTCTCCATCCGCTGGTGCAACCTCAGCCTGGTGAGACCCACATGTCCCCCCAGCTCTCACAACACCCCCCATAGGGACCCCCCACCCCTCCTAACCACCATCAACCCCATTACAGCTGCAGGTTTGGCCCAGCCCCACGACGCCAGGGTTGGTTTGGGGGTCCGGGGTGCTGGAGGAGGATGGGGATTTCCAGCCCCCCACCGAGGTTCCCCCTCATGACTTGCTGCCGGGGTTCCTCGTGACGCTGCTGGTGCCACTGGTGGTGGCTGCGCTGCTCTGTCTGCTCCTGGGCCACCTCATGTGCTGCCGCAGGGAGGGAGTGTGAGTCAGGGAGGCAGGCTCAGGGTGGGGGTCTCCCCTACCCAAACCCAGTTGGGGTCTCTCCCCTACCCCAGGTTGGGTACCCCTTCCCCAGCCATTGTGGGTCTGGGACAAGCTGGGGGTGGTGAGAGCCTTTCTCACCATAATTATAGTTTTTTTCCCTTTTCCCCCTGTTTTGTAGGCAAAAACGGGACTTGCAGACCACTGAGTAAGTCCTGACACCCCAGATCAAGCTGTGGGGATGCTGGGGGGCTGCCCTGGGGGGGCTGCTTTGTAGGGCTTTGTCATGGGGATGGGAAAATGAAAGGACAGGGGGCACATGGGAGCGATCGGTTGTTTGGGGAGTTTTGGTTTGGTGGTGGAGTTTAAAGGTTCCCCCATCCCAAAAGGCCCCCCCCACCAGCCCCCCTCCTCCCCTCCTCATCCCTCGACACCCTCCAATAACTCCTCTGAGGTACGGGTTGGAGCACAAGAGTTGCTTTACTTTTCCAGTAGCCTTGGATGGAACCAACAGCAGCCAGGACGACCCTGGGGATGGGGGGCAGACCCCAAGGATGAGGGCAGACCCTGATGATGGGTCCAGACCCCAATTATAGGTGATGGGTGGGCAGACCCCCATTATAGGTGAACAGATCTCAGTGATGGGTGACCAGATCCCAGTGATGAGATGCAGACCTCAATGATGGGGTACAGACCCCAATAACAGGAGAGCAAACCCAAATGATGAGGGTCAATTCCTCGTGAGGCAGGCCAGACCCTAATTATGGAGTGCAGACCCCAGTTTTGGGAGACAGACCCCAGTGGTGAGTGGGTAGAACCCAGTGATGGGGTGTAGACCTCAAAAGTGTCATTCAGACCCCAATGATGGAATGCAGATCCCAATAATGGATGGGCACACCCAAATGATGGGGTTCAGACTCTGATTTCAGGGGCAGACCTCAATGTTAGGTGAGCAGGCCCCTGTGGCTGGAATCCAACTATGGGGTGCAGACCCCAGTAATGACATTAAGACACCAATGAAGGCTAGGCAGACCCAAATTGTGGGGAGCCAATCCCAGTGATGGGATGCAAACCCCAATAATGAGGGGAAAGACCTAAATCATGGGGCGTAGACCCCAATTCTGTGGAGTGAGCCAAAATGGTGAGTGAGCAGACCCCAAGGGTGGGAGAGGAAAACCCTAATAATGGGGCGCCAATCCCCTCCCCAGGGGGATATGGGTGAAAACATGGGGTGCTTCACCACCTTCTCCTTCCCCCTCAGCATCCAGCTGGTCCACCACACCACCATCCACGGGGACACGGAGGAGCTGCGGCACATGGCCGGGAGCCGGGATGTGATCCGGGATGTGCCCCGGCCCCTTTCCACCCTGCCCATGTTCAACGTCCGCACGGGCCAGCGCATCAACCCCATTCCCAGCCCCCGGGATGGGGCCCGTGTCCCCCTCCTCCCCCAGTGAGGGGCACCCAGGGGGATGCCATGGGGAAGGGGACAATGCCAGGGATGGGAAAGGGGTGCCCTGATGTTTCTGGGGGTACAGAAGCGTGGCAACAGGCAGATCTCAACCAGATGGGTGGTCACCCTTCTGACTGGGCTCTGCCTGCTGCTGGGTTGTTGCCTGGAGGATTTTGGGGTGTTTCCTCTTTAGGGTGAGTTTTGGAGCATAAATTGAACATTTAGTGATGAAATGAGGCTTCTCTGCTTTATTTACAGAGTGGGTTTTGGGGCACTCACCCTGTTCCAGCCATGATCTCCCATCAAAGGCTTGCAACCCCCGTAAGAGTTGGGATGACTCTGTGCATCCGCCAACCTTGTGGAGGGAAAGGGCAGCAGGAAGGGGATGGGAATAGGGACAACGGGGGGGACACAGTCCCTGGGACCCATGATGGCACCCCAGTGCCCCCCCAACTCACCTGGGTGTGCGTGTCCAGCAGGATCTCTCCCAGAGCTCCCAAATCCTCTGTCTGCACTGCATAGATCTGGATATCCCACTCAGTGTCCTGCTTAGCACCCCCATAACCCCTCCCCGGCCTCCCCAGGGGGTCCCCGCAGCCCAGTCCCTCCAAAGAAAGAGCCTCTTTCACCACAGTCCCCCCTCCCTCACACGGGGTAGGCGCCAGAGTGGGGGTTAGGGAAAACACGGGGGCCCAGGAGGAACAAGGGGACCCATTGATGGGCCGGAGAACGGCGGCATTGAGAGTTCGTCCCGCTGCCAGAGCAGCCCCCCCCAGGCTGTGGGGGTCATGCTTGTGCTCCCCTCCCCATGGCAGTGGGCACCCCTCCTCCCTCCCGGGCACGCATAGGGTTGCTGGTGGTCCCTTGTTGTGAATGAGCAGGTATGGGGTGTGTGGATGGGGCTGGGATGTGTGGGGCACCCAGAGGAGGGGTGGGAGACTTGTGGTGGGGCACAAACACACTGGGACCTCCCCACACCGCATGCTCTGGGGTACCCACACACTGAGGCACCCCCACACTGGGGTACCCCTATAACAGAGCACCCCCACGCTCACTCACCAACCCTTCTTGCACCCCTTTCGTGAGCCCACCCCACTGCTCCAATTCTGGGTTGTCTTTCTGTGCCCACCCCACTCCCCAGTTCCTTCTGGGAGGTCACCCCCACACCAGAGCACCCCCACCTCCACCCCTCTTGCACCCCAAGGTGATCCCACCCCCCTGCTCCAATTTTGGGGTGTCTCCCTGTGCCCACCCCACTCCCCAGTTCCTTCTGGGGGCTCACCCTGAGCTGAGAGGCCCCAGAGGCCCCCCCCCCCGGCCCCAGCTGCCCCCTAACCCTTCCTCCCTTTGATCCCCTCTCTCCGCATTTCTTCCCCTGTTTCGGGAGGGGACACAGACACCCTCCTCCCCCAAGTTCCCTCCACTGTGGGTACCCAGCAGCTCTGCTCCACTAAATCCAGCCCAACCCTCCTACTGGGCGGGTGGGTCCCCCTTCCTTCCTCTCCCCCCTCATCCCAGGGGGACTGAAGGAGGAGGGCTGGAGGGCGGGAAAGGAGAATGGGCAGGAGCGGAGCGCAGAAGCTCGGTGGGAGCAGAGCAGGATCAATCGGGATGAGAGTGGGATCGGGCGAGAAGGAGCTCCCAAGGCCACCCCACCACCCACCCAGGACCCCCTCCCAAGGCCCCCCGAGAGCGAGAGGCGGCGTGGAAGAGCACCCCGAGGTTTGTTGGATCATTTCACATGCTTTATTTCAGCAGTCAAAAAAAAAAAATTATTTTTCTTAAAAAAAAAAAAGAAAACCCCAAAAACCACTTAAAAATTATTATTATTATTATTATTATTATTATTATTATTATTATACATTATACAAACTAGGTACAAACTCTGGGAAAAACCCAGAGTATCCACCGGGAGATCGGTCCGGCAAGAGGGAGTGGGTTCGTGCCCCTCCATGCCCAGGGAGGATGCAGAGATGGAGAGGGAGGGAGGGAGGGAGAGAGGGAGGGAGGAATGGATGGATGGATGGATGGATGGGTGGATGGATGGATGGATGGATGGATGGATGGATGGATGGATGGATGGGTGGATGGATGGATGAATGGAGGAAAAGCTGCTGGAAGTTTTGACAGTGGAGCTGAAGATCCACCTGCTAAACCTGGAAAATTATTTTATTCCTTTCTTCCCTTTTAACTTTTTGGCTCTGCTTTGCATTTGCTTGGGGATTTACTTGTGGGATGATGGAAGGGGGGAGGGGGAAAATAGCACCTTTAGGAAATTCCCAAGTGGAACTGAGTAACAAAGAAAGGGGGAAATAAAGCATAAAATAGAGGTAAATGAAATTAGATTGAGCTGAGATGCATCTTTGGAGGTCGTAGCACCAGGAGGTCCCGGGTTTGGGTGTTCCAGGACCAAAATTAAAGAGAATATCTAAAAATAATGACAATTAAAAAACAAAACAAAACAAAACAAAACCAAAACCAAAATCAGGATAAAAATCCTGAGGGAAGGAAACCTCCAAAAGAAAATCAAAATAAAAGATCAACAGAGCAACAAAAGAGAAAAGTGGAGGGGGGGAATAATAGGGAAAAATTAGCACCTTTGCTCTGAACCTGGCAGGAAAGTCCCGGCACGGCTGAAAAACTCCAAACGAAGCTAAAAATCAAGAACAAAACAAAACAAAAGAACCCCAAAATTAAAACTAAAAAAGACAGTAAAAAACCCCGAAAGTGGTGAGGTAGCCATCCGGAAAGGGGGGATGCAGTGGAGGGTCAGGTCTGCTTGGCGCCAGGGGCTCCCCTCGTGTGCTTGGGAATGAATTGGTTTTGCTGCCTGAATGAAAAAATAAAATTAAAAAAAAAAAGGAATTCATAATAAAACCTGAAGATTCATAATAAGAAATGGCAAGAACTCAAAAGGATTGTGACCCGAATCAAAAAAACTAAAGAAAGGACCATTACCTGAATCAAAACACTAAAGAGGAGGGTGGGGAGGAGAGAGAGGGAAAACAAGGAGAAAAAGTAAATTATAACCAAGAGTTAAACATCTTCCTGACAGCAAAAAAATTATGAGATGCAAAAAGCAAAGGGGCTGGTGGGGAAAGGGGGGGTTAAGAGCGGCCAGTCCCAGGGGGTTCTCAGGGAGTTTTCAGTGAGTTGAGCTGCTCCATCTCCAGGACTGAGGAATGAGGGGTGGGGTGGCAAGCAAGCGAACCCACTTCCTGGTGATTTTGTTTGAAAAAGTCATTTATTTTTATTTCTTTTTTTTTTTCTATTGTCTTTTTTTTTTTTTTTAAGGTTTAATGCTTTTTTTCTCTTTGGGGAGGGCTTTTTAGGTTTTTCTCTTTTCTTTCTTTTAGAGACGCTGGATAGAAAACCGACACAAATTCAAGTCCATGTGAAATTTTCTCCTTTTTTTTTGGCTGTTTTTTTTTTTCTTTTTTTATTATTATTATCATTATTATTACTCTCTCCTGTCACGCTTTCGGGGGGAGGGGGCGTCCGGTTTACAAGAAGCAGACGGGGCCGATGTCGATGCCGAATTCCTGGTCTGGGGCGCCGACGTCCATAGGAGCCAAATCAATGATGGGAAGGCGAGAGGTCTTCGTCGTCTTGTACTCGATGACTGTCTTGCCCCATGCACCAGTGTGACTCTGTGGGGACACCACAGTCATCCCCATCCCCAAAAGACGTTCCACCACCCTGCCAGGACCCCCCATCCCTCAGCACCCACCGTGCAGCCATCCTCAGTGACACCGTAGGTGAAGCGGCTGTTGCCTTCAGCCCTGATCTCGATCTCGTTGGCGCCTTGGAGTAGAAGAGCCTTCTTCAGGTTGCCGGTGTCCTGGTCCATGTAGGCAACACTGTTCTTGCAGTGGTAGGTGATGTTTTGGGCGGCTTCAGTGGACATGAGGCGCAGGAAGGTCAGCTGGATGGCAACATCAGCGGGGTTGGAGCCCTCACCGCCGTACTCAAACTGTGGGAGAAGAGAAATCGGTCACCGTGGAGGTCGCCCAGCCTGGTTGGCCCCTCACCTCCTGGCCCCCCTGCTCACCTGGAAGCCGTCGCTCATCGTCTCGCCGAACCAGATGTGCTTCTTCTCCTTGGGGTTTTTGCTGAGGTACCAGTTCTTCTGGGCGATGGTGGCCTGGGTCGGGTAGACACACGTCTCACCCGTCTCCATGTTGCAGTAGACCTTGATGGCATCCAGGTTGCAGCCTTGGTTGGGGTCAATCCAGTATTCGCCTGTGGGATGAAGGGAGGAGGGTCAGGGTGGCGGATGGAGGTGTGGAGCAGCCAGGAGGGATCAGGTGAGGAGCAGCCAGGAGGGATGAAGGTGTGGAGCAGCCAGAAGGGATGGAGCTGAGAAGCAGCCAGAGGGATGAAGGATGGAGGTGAGGAACGGCCACAGAAGATGGAGAATGGAAGTGAGGAGCAACCATGGAGGACGGAGGTGAGAAACAAGTGAGAGGAACAGAGGATAGAGGGATAGGTGAGAATGGGAGATGGAAAGATGAAGGATATGAGAGACTGAGAACGAAGGGATGAAGGAGGGAGGTGAGGAGCAGCTGTGAAATGTGGAGGAGGGAGATAAAGAGCAGGTAGGAGGGAGCTGGTGAGTGGAGCGGGGAGTTGGGCAACACCCATGAGAAGAGGAAGGAGGTGAGGAGAAAACAGGAGGTGGAGGGATGGTGGATAGAGGTGATAGCAGCCATGGGAGAGGAGGGAGGAATGAAGATGGGAATCAACCAGGGTGATGGAAGAAGGCTGGGGATGAGGAGAAGGTAGAGGGGACAGAGGGATGGAGGTGAGGGCCCAGAGGGACAGGGGGACACTGACCGCTCTTCCAGTCGCCGTGGCACATCTTCAGGTCGCGGCAGGTCCGGGCAGGGTTCTTGCGGGTGCCTTCGGGGCTGCGGATGTTCTCGATCTGTTGGCTCAGGCTCTTGAGGGTGGTGTCCACCTCCAGGTCACGGTCGCGCATCACGTTGGCATCGTCAGCCCTGTAGTAGCGCCCGCCGTCGTGGGCCTTCTCCTGGGGTGGCTGGGGCAGGAAGCTGAAGTCGAATCCACCACTGGGGGGTCCAGGAGGACCAGGAGGGCCGGGTGGGCCAGGGGGACCCTACAGGAGGAGAGGAGGAGGAGGATGGTGAGCAGGTAGATGATGAAGGCGGGCGGTGCTGGGCGGGTGGCAGAAGGGCTGGTACGTACAACAGGGCCGACGTCGCCAGTGCGACCGCGGGGGCCGGGGGGGCCGATGGGGCCAGGCAGCCCATTGAGACCATCTTTGCCAGCAGCACCAGCGGAGCCAGGAGGACCCTGTGGGACAGGAGAAAGGGTGAGCGTGGCCATCCTGCCTGGGCAGAGTCTCCCCCTCCAGCCCCGACCCTCATCCCTGTAAGGAACCCAATGTCAGTGGGGACTCCCCGTTCCCCCCAGGATGCTGGATATCACGTCTCATCCAGGAACTTACTCGTGGACCGGCAGGACCAGAAGCACCAGAAGGACCTTGTTCACCAGGAGAGCCCTGTGCCAAGCAAGGAGGAAGAGGAAGAGGTGCCATCAGCATCTCGTGCTGTCTCCAGGACATAGGGCAGCACTTGGTGCCACCATCACCCCACAGGACTTACGGGAGGACCAGGTGGGCCCTGGAGACCGGAGAAACCTCTGTGACCCTTCATGCCTCTGTCACCCTGTTCACCAGTTTCACCTTTGTCACCACGGGGACCTTGTGGACCCTGGAGAAGGAGGAGGAGGAAGAAGACATGTTGAGTGAGATCCGGACCAACCATTGCCCCCATACCTGTGGGGATGCAGAGACAGCAAGAAGGATGGAGGAGAACATCTACTTACAGCAGGACCACGAGCACCAGCAGGACCAGGGGGACCAGCAGGACCTTGGGGACCCTGGCACAGGAGAGAAGGGGACAGGTTAGAGCATCTTCTACCTTCTGCTGCTGCTGGCTTAGGGCAGCAACACCCTGAGAGGGGTAGTGGGACCTCTGGCTTCACCCTTTGCAGGGTGGCGAGATCCCTGGCATCACTCTGAGAAGGGTGGTGGGACCCCTGGCATCACTCTGAGAAGGGTGGTGGGACCCCTGGCATACTAGGGAAGCCCCTTTCAGCACCAAGAGCTCAGCCTGAGTCCAGACCCCCAGAATAGGGTCCATCTTGGGGTGCCCCTGGGCCAGGGAGGAGTACAAGGGAGGCTCTGAGTAGAGCAGCACTTACAGTCTCACCACGATCTCCGTTCTTGCCAGCAGGACCAACGGGGCCGGGGGCACCAGGGGCACCAGGAGCACCAGGGGGGCCAGCAGGGCCGGTCTCACCACGGTCACCCTGTGAGGAGGAGGAAGAGGAGGAGGAAGAGGAGAGGTCAGTGTGGGTCAGCACAACCCCATCACCCCTTCCTGTGCCCCCCTCACAGCCCGCTCACCTTGGGACCAGCAGCACCATCACGGCCAGGGGCACCTTCAGCACCAGGAGCACCCTGTGGAGGAGGAAAGACCCTCGTTAGGGATGGTGGGGGGTGAAGAGGGGTCTCTACTCAGCTCAACACGGGCCTCTCCATGCACCAACATCCACCAGTGGTATGAGCTGGCAAGTCTTCAGCACAACGAGCCCAACACTGACGCACTGGTGGGGGTCAGTGCCCCCAACACCGATGATTGCCCACAGTCACCCACCTCACGTCCAGCTTCTCCGGGGGGTCCAGCCAGGCCAGGGGGCCCCATGGGGCCGGGAGGGCCACGCTCACCAGGGGAACCAGAAGGACCTTGTTTGCCAGGTTCACCCTGTGCAGGGGAGAGAACAGGGTGTGTCAGACACCGCTAACATCCCCTTCCCCTGGTCACAGGGTGAGCTGGACCCTAGGGGGATCACAGCGTTGTCTGTTCCTGGGGACCCCCTTGGTACTCACAGAAGGGCCAGGCAGCCCAGGGAATCCTCTCTCTCCTCTCTGTCCGGGGAGACCAACGACACCGCGCTGGCCAGCAATACCTTGGGGTCCGGGAGTGCCAGGAGCGCCCTGCGGGGACAAACAGTGCCTCAGGGTGATGGCAGCGATGGGGGCCTCCCTCCCTGCGGAGGGGACAGCTAGGAGAGTGACCAGCACAGGGGATCTGACCAGGGGCTTGACTTACAATGGGGCCATCAGCACCAGGAGAGCCCTTCTCGCCGGGGGGTCCAGGGGGTCCAGCGGGTCCCGGTTCACCGGGGCGGCCAGCGGGGCCAGTCTCACCACGGGGTCCTTTGCCACCTTCCTTCCCGCTGGGGCCAGGGGGGCCGGGGAGGCCAATGTTCCCCTGGGCGGAAGGGGAGGCAATGCTATAAGGCAGCTGGTCGAGATCCCCCCGGCTGCCAGCTGAAGGGCAGCCAGGGGTGTCCTGGTGCCAACTGGGACAGGGAGGCCATGTGGAGCATCCTGGATTGGTGCCCAGCACCTGCCGTGTCCCCCATCACTGGCATCCTCCCCGTCCCCACACCTCTCACCCCCCTGGGGGTACTCACAGAGGGGCCAGGGGGTCCAACTCGTCCAGCAGCACCAGGGAAACCAGTAGCACCCTGGAAGGGAGGAAAGCTGGAGTCAGCGGCATCAGATCCAGGTGTCACAGGGCCAGGGGATGGTCCCCTGGCTGGGAGCCCCGGCAGAGAACCCCGGGACTGATTTTGTGGCTATGAAAGCAACGCCCCCCTTTTCCCCTCTGCTCTACCCCCTCCTGGGATGAAGCCACCCCAGATCGATGCCATGGCCCAGGCAGTTTTGGAGTTGCAGGACTGGAGGTGCCCCACTGTGCTGGGGCAGCAGAGCCAGACACACTGGGGAGTTAAACCCCCTCGGGGGTGTTCACACCCAAGGAGGGGTTCCCAAACCCCCCCATCCCCACAAGACTGGTACTTACAGGGGGTCCAGCGCTTCCACGAGCACCTTTGGGACCAGGAGCACCAACAGCACCCTGTGAGGGAAGGAAGAGGAGGAAGAGGAGGGGGTGAGGGGTGAGTTGTGCCATGGGACTAGACCCCAAGGGGGTGTGGGGTGGGTTGGGGTGGGGGAACTTACAGCAGGTCCAGGAGCACCAGTGGGGCCAGCAGGGCCGGGGGGACCAGCATCACCCTTGGCTCCAGCATCCCCCGTTTCACCTTTAGCACCAGGCTGGCCGTCAGCACCCTGTGGGAGAGGGAAAGGGGTGGATTCGGGGGGCTCATCATCACCCCGACAGGGGCAGGATCAGACCCCCAGGCAGGGGGGAGCGAGGCTGTTTCACTTACAGGGGGGCCAGCAAATCCAGCAGGACCGGGAGGGCCAGGCTCGCCGCGGTCACCCTGGGAGAGATGGGAGGGAACAGAGTCAGACGAGCAGGGGAAGGTCACCAGGGCCACCAAGGGGCAACCAAAGAGCAAGGCCATCACTCAGGGTGGGGGGACACTTACGGGAGCACCACGGGCACCAGTGGGACCAGCAGGACCGGGGGGACCAGCTTCTCCCTGGAAAAGGGGTGGAAAACCAGAAAAAAATGAGGTCAGGGCTGCGGCGAGGAGGTGGCAATGAGTGCCTGGACACATCTGTCCCCGGGGGATGTCCCTACCTTGTCACCAGGAGCACCAGCAGGGCCAGGGGGGCCGATGGGACCGGTCAGACCTCGGAGACCGTCTTTGCCAGGAGCACCGTCAGCACCTTTGGGACCTGGGTCACCCTGGGGAGGAAGAGGATGGTGGGTTATTGGGGAGGTCCCTTCCAGGGGGTTGCCCCTTCTCCCCTTTCCCCTGGGTGCGCTGAGCCATCTCTGGTTCTTTGTCCTCCCTGGGAGAGGCTGGGACCATCCTCCACCTCACCAGAGCTGGACTCTCAGTGAGGGATTGTCCCCAAGGGCCATGCTCAGATGAGGACAGAACTGATGCTGAGCATCCCCGCTCCAGGGCAGTGCTGCCCCTTGACCTTGGTTTGGGGGCACATCCAGTTCCAATGAGGGTGCACAGAGGTGGTGGGGAGCAGGTGACCAAGGGGGACATCAAGGTTTTGGGAGACACATCCAGCCCCAAGGGGTTGATGAGGGGAGCATGGGGATAGTGGGGAGCAGAGGAGAAATGGGGACATTGGGGTTTTGGGGACATATCAAGCCCTGAGGGGACAAACAGGGGGCACAGGGGTGGTGGAGAGCAGGTGATCAATGGGGATATCAGGGTTTTGGGGGGCACATCCAGTCCCAAGGGGATGGTGAGGGGGCAGGTGGGTACCGGGGAGCAGAGGAACAAAGGGGACATCAAGGTTTTGGGGGCACATCCAGCCCCAAGGGAACGAAGAAGGGGGCTCAGGGATGAGCAACGGGAACACTGGGGTTTTGGGGATACATCCAGCCTCAAGGAGACAATGACGGGGGCACAAGGAGGAGCAATGGGGACATCAGGGGTTTGGGGACACGTACTCTGTCACCCTTGGCACCTGGCAGGCCGGCAGCACCACGTTCTCCGGGCATACCCTGCAGACCAGGGGGTCCTTGATTCCCGGGGGCTCCGGGAGCACCAGCATCACCCTGGGAAAGAGCAACAGAAAACAGGGATTAGCGAGGCCCCGGCACAGCAAAACCTTCCCCAGCTCTAGCCCCAGCCAAAGGAAGTGAAGCCAAATCCATTCCCCTTTACAACTGCACCCCAAAAGCTGGGGGCAGTCACCCACCACCCCGACATTCCCACACTGGCACCTACCTTAGCACCATCATTACCAGGAGCACCATTAGCACCACGAGGACCTTGGGGACCGGGGGGGCCTTGGACACCACGTTCACCAGGGAAACCTCTCTCACCCTGGAGGGGGGAGGAAGGAGAAGGGTCGAGGTGGTCAGGGCAGTGTCAGGTACTTTGGGGTGCCAAGAACTGATGGGGAGCCCGTGGGGTTCAACTTACCCTGGCACCAGCGGGACCAGGGGCACCAGCATCTCCGGGGACACCCTGTGTGGGAGGGAAAGGGTGTGGAGTCAGAGGGGGCTCTGGGGATGGGCCAGAGGGGTCCACAGGGTACCCCCAGGGGTCTCTCAATCCCTGGGACAGGGCTGGGATCCTCCACTGTGTGGAGCACATGGCCTGAGGGGGACACTGGGGGATCCCCCATCAACAGCCCCCCTCCACGGCTGGGAGAGGGAAGATGGGGAGGGGACAGGGAAGGTCCCAAGTCACCCACACTCACCTGCTCACCAGGCTTGCCAGCCTCTCCGGGGGGACCAGCAGGGCCTGGCAGACCCTGGGGAGGAAGAAGAAGAGCCATGAGCCACCAGGGAGGTGGGAGACCAGAGGGGACAAGGGAAAGGGTAATGTCATCCCCCTCCCCAGGTGGTTTATCCCCCTCACCATGGAAGGGGACACCCCTCACCTGGAAGCCAGGAGCACCGGCGGGACCTTGTTCACCTCTTTCTCCAGCAGGACCCTAGGGGAGGCAGGACAAGCATTGAGGGGGGGGACACGCTCAACTTCTGAGCCCCTTCTCCGGTGGTTGAGCACGGTCTTGGGTGGCCATGGACTAGGGGATACTCACAGTGGGGCCGGGAGGACCTTGGGCACCAGTTTCACCGTCTTTGCCAGCAGCACCCTGTGGAAGAGGGAGAGGAGGGTGCTCAGAGCATGGTCAGACCTGCAGCCCCTACAAAGTTCTGTATGTAACCCCTGCCTCCCCAAAACAGAGTGTGGCCTCACGGTGTCCTTCAAAGGACGGGAGACACCGCAGGGCGAGCTGCCCATGGCCACGTCACCTCCCTGCTGTCCCTGCTCCAAAGCTGCTGGGAGCCACCGGAATGGAGTCCCAAACACCTCATCCCGCTGCCGTCCTTGTCCTTGTGGCTTTCCCTGACACTGCTCAGCCATCTCACTCCCTATCCCTGCCGCTCCACACTGGGGTGACCCTCCCTGCCACCCCATGCTGGGGTGATGTCCCCTGT